AATGGGGAGCTACTAATCAACAGGTGTAAAATTAAGATTGAGCAAGACGAATGCATTCTAGAAATCTGATGTACCACATTGTACCTACAATGAACGACAACATATTGAACACTGGAAAATTTATTAAGAGAGGAGATCTTACATTAAGTGTTCTTATCACAATAAAATAAAATTTTAAAAATATTCCAAAGCACTTCTTTGTACACACTCCATCGTGCAGGTTCATAAATCTTTCTCTAGAGTAACTAATAATAAGTGGAATAGATGGATGATAGGGTATATGCAGTTTTAAATTTAAATCATTGTCTAATTTACACAGCCAGCGGCAGAGTACAAGAGTATTTATTCCCCCACATTGTTGCCACATCCCATATTATCACACTTAAAAATTTTGCCAACCTAATGAGTCAAATTGGTACTTAATGACGGTTTTAGTGTTTGTCTTTCTGATTCTTAATGAGGTTCAGTACTTTTAGATGTTTATGGGCATTATATTGTTTCTTCTGTTAAATGCTTTTAATTTACTTGGCTAATTTTAATAGTGGTTTTCAAAAAATGATCCATGCATCCATATTTACATGGGAAGTTACTTTGTTATAAAATTTCAAAGATCTATCTTAGCCTGTTGCTTCTCTGTTATGTTTATGATGCCTTTGGTCTCAAAGGCATTTAACATCTTGATGGAAGATTTTATCACTTTTTTCATTTTTGGATTTGTTTCCTTTGTCTCATTTTGTAGGCCTTCCTTACGGTTAGCTTCTAGCAAATGCTATACTTTCTTGAAATACTTTTAGAGTTCTACTTCTACATTTTGGGCTTTCTGTTTTGTGTGTGAGTTATGGGTATACCTTTATTTGTTTCCGAATACAAATGAACTGTTTCACTGATTTTGAATACCCCTTTTAGAATTGAGTAAGTTCCCATTTATATATGAGTTTTTTCTGGGTTGCCTGTTCTCTTCATTGTTCTCTTTATATATTTCTGTGCCAATCCCACACTGGCTTTCCTGACCACCGTACCTGAAGTAGCCCTCGTTTACTGTCTACTGCATCGCCCCATTGCGTTTTCTTCATGGCACACATACACATCTCTTTAGAGTTCTTGTTTATTTATTTGTTGGCTTGTGGATTGCAAGCTCCATGATGGCAGCTCCAAGCTGCCTTTTTTAGCACGTGGACTAGCACCCGTAGACACTTAGAGCATAGCTACTGGAAGAAGGGATGAAAGAACACCCCTTGGGCAAGGATATTTACAGTTGAGCTTTATTTTCAAAACTTGCATGAATTGTCAAAAGGATTTGTACTATCAACCAAAGAAGTGGATAGAGAAGGGCCTTTCTACATCCTTGAAGTTCCCCTATGTGTGTTTGTGGCTTCTGCTCACATTGTCACATTGCTTAAATATGGAACCCTTGGAAAAACTCCCCCAAAGGGGCAGAAAAGGGTGATGTATGCTTATCATAAACCTCGGGTACACTTCCTTTTAGGGTATGGAATTTAGCGTGGCCAAATGTAGTCACTGAATATGTGGCCCAAGGCAATCATTAATTCACGCTGCAAATATTTATCCAGCACTCTGGTAGGTGTTGAGAAAGCAATGGCGAGTAGAATAAACATGGAACTTATAGGGGGAGGGATGTAGGGGGAGACCCCAATTAGACACTACAGCAAAGAGTATGTAATTAGAAACTAGGATCATTTCTTTGTAGAAAAATAATAAGAAGCTTTTAGCGCGTGCAACCAGAGGGCCAGAGAGTAGTTCACAGAGGAAGTGACTGCTGAACAGAGCTTTGATGTAGACAAAGAGAGCACGAAGCATTTTGGCGGAGGTCCTGAGGCAGAAGCAGGAGTGTAGCTCTGGTGACGTGCGTGGGCAGAGGCCAGATCAAAGGATGATGACAAAAACAAAACAAACGACGACGACGACGACAAAACCCACGTGGGTATTGGAGTAATACAAACCCTGGGTTCGCATGAATTTTGGCACCTGTCAGCTGTGTAACCAGATCAGTTTTAACCTCTTCCTCCTCAGTTACCTTGCTGATGAAAACTAACCAACTTGGGTTACCGTGAATATTACATGAGAGAGTCTGGCATGTGTCAGAGATCCGTGGTGTAGTTAGGGTACTTCACTTCTTCCGTGTTTGTTAGCTGCCAACACCTTAATTTTAAGCAAGCAAAGCAGAAATAGTCACTTGTTTGGGGGATTCACAGCCTGAAACCAAGCTGCAGTTTCCAAAAGGAAATGCAGTCAAAATTTTTTGAGCATCTAATAGGTTCTACTTCATTCCGTGAAAAACCATTTTTGAGCACCTGCTTTGTGCAAAATAGAAAGTATTCTTCTGGGGATACAAGGATGAGCCATTTTGAAGGTAATGACTACATGGGGTACATTTATAACTATGTCACAGAGAATCTACAGGAGGCAAGATCAGTGTGTGTTTTGGTGAACGAGTGAGGTATAAAAGACGGTCCCAGTAGAAGGAACCACCGGGGATGGCTATGGAGGGGAGGAGGGCATGGCCAACAACTCAGGAGAAAGGTGCCATGAGAGAGAATTGTAGGATTCCCTTACAAAAGGAGAGGGCAGTTGGCCTCAGCAGTGCTCGCAGGGCCAAATGGTTGCACGCAAGGAGCTCAGTCTTTGTGGAAGGGCATCCTGATCGTGGTCATGGCTGGTGCTGGAGTACAGCCACTACCATTGTCTCCAAGATTTGCCTGCGTGCTTCTCTGGACATACTAGTTTGGGGACTCATTGATGGAAACACGACGTTCCTGCTGCTGGCAGTGACTAGGGATGCTGCGACACATATCTACCCATCCAAATCAGTGCCATGAGACCATGCTTATCTTTTGTGGTCTTTGGATCACCCATCGCTGGCCCCCACCATAAGGCCACTTTAGTCTTGTGTGTTTGATTAGTTTTGGCTCCATCCTCTTCAGGCATATGAATAACTGCTTTGGTGTTTTTTTTTTTTTTTTTACCACTTTTTTTGAGGAGGGCAGATCAGAGTTCTACTACCTAGAAAACATAATGGAAAGCTTCTGTTTCCTCAAACAGTGTCTTGGCTATGTTAGCACATTATTTACTCTCTCCCCATTATAGCCCATTATAGCCCATTATAATCCTACTAGCTTTCAAGAACCTGATCAGATCAGAGTTCTCCGTGAAGCCTTCTTTAATCACCCCAGCTGAACGGGATTTTGTCTTCCTTTATAATTTTGTATTACAGATTATTTATAACAGTGGATCCAGTGTTTGGTTGATGATTGGTGTTACCTGGAGGAAAATTTTGAAGAAAATTTTTATTCTAGAACAACTTTATATTTACAGAATCAATGCAAAGATAGTGCATTAAATTCCTGTTTATCCAATAGCCAGTGTGTCTCCTATTATTAACATCGTACATTAGTACAGGACCTTTGTCACAGGAAATGAACCAATGTTGATACGTTATTATTAACTAAAGTCTATACTTTATTCAGGAGTCCTCAGTTTTCCTCTGATGTCCTTTATCTGTTCCAGGATGGTCCTTCAGGGCACCACACTACCTGTAGTTATTATGTCTCCTAAGGCTCCCTTAGCTGTGACAGTTTCTTGGACTTTCTTTGGTGATCTTGACAGTTTTGAGGATTACTCAATAGGGATTTTGGAAAATGTCCCTAAATTTGGATCCGTCTGATGGTTTTCTCATGATCAGACTGAGGTAATGAGTTTTTAGGAGGAAGACCACAGAGGCTAAGTACCATTCTCATCACATCATATCCAGGATATGTAGTATCAGTATGACTTATTAGTGGTGAGGCTAACCTCCATCACCTGGCTTGAGGTAGTGTTCATCAAGTTCCTCCACTGAAAAGGTCCTTTCTCCATGTCCATACTGGGCTCTTTGGGAGAAAGTCACCATGTGCAGTTCACTCTAAGGGGAAAGGTTATGTGCCAACTCTTTTAAGAGCAGAGTGTCTGCATAAATTATTTAGAATTCTTTTGAATGGGAAATTTTTCTGTTCTCCCCATTTGTTTATTCAATCATTTATTTATATCAACACGGACTTGTAGATATTTATTTTATACCTTGAGTTATAATCCAATACTACTTTATTTATTTTGTCACTCAAGATGTTCCAGCTTTGGCCACTGGGAACTTTTTCAGTTGGTTCCGGTGTCCCTTCGATACGTCCCCATCGTTTTGGGGGGTGTATGCTTTCTTGATTTCTGTCACTAAAAGATTCTGTATGTGTCCTGCCCCAGACCTGGGATCAGCCGCGTCTCCAGGGAACTCTGGTTCCTTTTTTTTGGAGTATTGAAAACCAAGATGGGGGCACCAGGCTTACTTGCGGACATCATGGTGTCTGGCTTCCAGGCCCTCTTGGCCGACACAGCAAAGAGACCATGTGTGTATGCTAACCTGTACATATGCCTATATCTGTAAATGTTCCATATGTAACCGTATGTATCTCTATTAAGCTGAATGTGAGTTCATACTCAGTGTCTCAACCCTAAGCCCTTACCACACAGGTCATTTGGGGGAATTTAAAGACACAGAATCCCAGGTACCTACCACTCCGGAGCCAGTAAAGTCAGGATCAATATTGACCTTAGATCTTTTGAAAGGCAAACACATTAACACCATCGAATGTTTTTCTTGGTTTAGTTTTGGAATCAATATCAAAATTATGAAAACTTCATAAATGTAGTTTTTGTTTTCTCACCATTCGCAATTTGGGTAGTTTTATATCTCAGTAAAAGTTTGTTGCCTGTCTAAAATTTTGCTAATTTTAATTCCACAATCTAATAGAGTTTGGAAATTCGTACATGATGTGACTTTTGAGTGTCCCAATGGTTCTCAAAGTCTGTGATATGAAGTCCCTGATATAGAAATAAAAACTCTAAGAACACAAATATAATCGTACAAGTCATATTGATTCATGTTGACAGTATTTATGTCACTCATTTCCTCTCCTCTTTCTTGTCTTCTCGAATTTTTTGGTGGGCTACAGTCTCCAGTTCCAACACCATCTTGTGAGCTGAACTCCGTTCCCAGGATGCCCTTGATGCTGCTCCTGCTGCTGCCCATCTTGAGTTCTGCAAAAGCTCAGGTTAATCCAGGTAACACAGCCATTGCTCAGCCACATGCTGGAAGAGTCCATCAGTGTTCATCCTGGGAAAGACCCTGCCAAGGGTACCCAAAGTGTTCCTTCCTTCCTTCTCTTGCTTTCTCTTCCTTCCTTCCTTCCTTCCTTCCTTCCTTCCTTCCTTCCTTCCTTCCTTCCTCTTTTTTCTCTCTTTCTCTCTTCTCCTCCCTCCCTCTCTCCTTCCTTCCTTCCTTCCTTCCTTCCTTCCTTCCTTCCTTCCTTCCTTCCTTCCTTCTTTCCTTCCTTCCTCTTACTTTCATAATGAAACATGTCCAAAATAGAATCAGAAACTAATGTCCTGTGTCTGTATAACATCTTGACTATCACAAAAGAGTTCCTGATATAAAGTAGGGTGGAGGAAATGGGAATTAAAAAAAAAAAGTGGAAGAAGCAGGCATTTGCTTCTGCATCTTCTAAGAAACAGAAGGAGAGAATTTTTAGAAGCCATGTAGAACCTCTGCAGGTTGGATTTCCAGTTATTTTTCTCTGGTTCAGGTTTGCGTTTTACTTGGACGTCCTGTTGTGCCTTTGGGACCTTCGTCTTGTGGCCAGTCTTTCCTGCCGGGTGTGGCCATACTAAAAAATGCATGTGTTAAGAGAAATCTTTTTAGTTTCCCTCATTTTTTTAAAGTTACATGTATATTTTACCTTTAAATTGAAGTGTACGGTTTTATCCCTTGTCTATTACCCCAGCAGTGCCTCCTAACAACCTGTGTAGTGCTGGTAATTTAGTTTGGGCTTGGTTGAACTGTTTGTTGTTCTGATCTCTGGGTTCATGCACATATCCGGGAGTCAGCTGGTTATTGGTTCATCGGGGATGGTGTTGGCTCTGATGACCGGGCACCTTGGCTCTGCTCTCCTCCAGCAGACTAGTGTGGAGATGTTTTAGCAGAAATTGCACAAGAGCAAGAGCAGAAGCTGAAATGCGCAGCATTTTGCAAGCTGATGCTTCAGTCACTGAAATCTCATTGTCCAAAATGAGTGGCATGGCCAAGCCCAGCATCAGAGTGGAATGGCATAAAGAGTTACCGGGGGGAAGCCCTGAATACAGGGAAGGGTGAAGGACACCAGTCAATTTTTCATGTCAACACATAAAAATATAGGAAGGTACCCGTAGTCTAAGTGCTCAATGTGATGAATTTTGCAAACTGAATACATCCATCAGCAGGATCCAGATTACAAAACAGAGCTTCACCAGACTTGGAAGGCAGGCTCTCCTCATGCTCCTCTCCAGTTACTTCTTCCCACGCTCACCCCACGCTAAATGTTATCCTGCTTTCTAACAATATAGGTTAATTTTTGCCTGTTTTTGTACTTTATATAAGTGAAAGCAGATGATCCCTAAATACTCTTTTGTGTCTGGCTTCTTTCATTCATTGTGTTGTTTGTGACATTCATCCCTACTCTTACATGCAGTTGGCAACTGTTTGTTTTCACTGTTGTATAATGTTACTTTGTTTGACTATTTTATTTATCCAGTCTACTGTGGATGGGAATTTGGATTGTTTCCAGTTTGCATTCATCATGAACAAATCTGCTACAATCATTCTCATAAAGGTCTTTTGGCAGAACTATGTACTCAGCTTTTTGGGGTACACACCTAGAAGCGGAATTGCTGGGTTGTATGCCACATACAATATGTTTTTCTACATACTGCCAAAGGGTTTTCTGAAGGGATTTTTCGTAATTTTCCACTCCACGATAGTGTATGAGAGTTCTAGGTGCTCCATGATGTATTTGGATTTTTGAGGACATTTTTATTTTGTCCTTTTCATGTAGCATGAGGGTAGTTGTGAAAATCCTCACCCTCTACCCCTCACCAGAATCCCATCTCCACGGGATATTCTTCATACGTGAAAAGGAACTATAATCAAAACACCTTAAAACCAAAGATTTATTGGTTGAATAAACCCAGTGCCCTACTGCTTTCTTACAATGAGCTTAACTGGCACATCTCAGATCTGAACTCGGACTCCCCGTTCTTTCATTTTTCTCCTCTGGATTCCTCTCATCTGGTTGAAGTGTGGTTGCCTCTTGTTATGTTTAACAAGCCCAGATTGGATTTCGGAGGAAGAGTCGCTACGTGTGCCAAGTGGTCAAAGTTTTTGGTGCCAGGCACATCCACAGAGACTGGAATGACATGGCGGTGTTTTAATGGGTAAAACCAGAGGAGCTGTCCCTCTGTGTGAGAGCTGACCCTGCTGGATCCCTGCGGCAGGACACGAGCTATTGGAAGATAGCAAAGAGTTATCTTTAAATCTTTTCCCCCTATTCCTGCTGTCACCCATTTCTGTTGGATCTTTCTGCCAAGGAAAAAGAAATAAAGGTCTTGACTTGCAGAGATCTTTATAGGAACATAGAATATTTGAAATACATTAATGAACTAATCCTTCTCTCTACCGATTTTTCTATTCTACCAAGGTAAGCTGGAGGCAAACAATGGGATATTGTAATTCATGTTACAGGATCTGGTCACCAAGCTGGGGGGTCATGGAGTCTTAGGGCTTGCACACTGATGAATGTAGAGTAGGTATATAATAAATGCACACCTATGGATTTATGGGTGACTTTTTAGAAGTCCTTATTGGTATCTATTGAGAGATGGAAAATCTTGGCCACTTATGTTTTCCCCACAGGTTGGCCACATGGAATAACTAAATGGCATCTTGGATTTAAGCCAGGAGAACTGGCTTATAAACAGATCTTATATAGAGCCAATTGTAAAAATAACAACACACATTTTAATAGATTACTTGATATAAAATATTGGCTGGCAAAAAGCAACTGGGATAAGCACTAAACTTAATAATACCGAGTCTAAAATAAGCTCATTAATTTAAGTCCATTTTAGAGATTTCATCATGGCTGCTGGAGTCACCCCTCAGGGGATGCAGAGTACAGGTAGTAGATCATGACATGAGACGTGATGGCAGAGTGCTGCTGGCTCACTACTCTAAAACGCCAGAGCTTTGACAGTGGCAGTGAAGGGGTTAGTGGGGCAGGTGGTAGTGGTGGCATTTCCAGTAATGGCAGTGTTGAAGGTGGTGTTACCATTGGGGGCTGCGGTGTGGGCTCTGCAGGTCCACCCTGGAAATACTGACATGAAGGAGTATGCACACACAGTTCTAAAATGTGGGCAGTGTGCTGAGTCATCTTCCAGTTGTAACAGTGCCCCAGGGACTGGGTCCTGATGACTGTCGATTCAATGACAGAAGTCATTGGAAAAGGTCAAGGCAGTTTCCTCTGTCAAAATCATGGCTCAGGTGTGTCAGCTAGCTAGTGGTATCCCTGTCAAACAGTCATACCAACAATTTCTGAAAAACGTTCCTACAAATCAACAAATGACTTGGATATTATTAGAACATTCTGATGAATGATTTGCAGTTCACTTAGAACATAGTATTTAACTCACTCAGAAGATTATTTTGAGGAAAAACCTAGTTACAACCCTGGGTTGGTCTTAAATTAGTTGTGTGGCATTAAGCATGCTGTTGTACTTCACACTTCCTTAATCCTTTCTCCTGTAGTGAGATGAAGTTGTTCTACATGGTCTCTGAGAGCCTTTCTGGCACAAACTTACTATGATTTTATGGTGTGGGAGCCTTACTGCCTATATTGGAATATATGGATGGGCTTTAGGCTTGGGAGTAGGGTCCCTGACCTTGAATGGCTCTTTGTAAGAAAATCTGCTTGTCCCCAACTCCTGGCACTTCTCAGCCTCAGGAATCTAAAATCTGAGCTTCATTACAAGTTTGCCTTTGAGGTTAAGCACAAAGAAGATAGCTGATAAATTTTTTTAAAAAAAATTGTACCCTAAAATGCCCCCTAGTGACAGATTGGGTACAGAATAGCTGCCCCAGCCTAACATGCAGGAGTTTCATAATACTAGAAGCCTTTTGTATGGCTTTTTTTTTTTTTTTTTTTTTTTTTTTTGTCTCTGGAGGTGGGTCCAAGAAGTCTTTCAGGAAGAAGAAATAGCATAAGCTGTTGCTGGAGGGAGGGAGAGGTTCACATGGGCTGCCTGGAGGAGGGTGAGTGAGGGACCCAAAGAGGCAGCTTTTCCATCCTCTTGCAGGTCTTTGGGTCAAGTTTTGTCTCCTTCTCAACTTGAGCTGGGCTACTGGACTCAACAGGAGAGCCTGGGAGTACCTCCAGGAGAAAGAAAAGTCTTTAGACTTCACAATGAAGCATAAGAACGCTCTGGGCTTTACTATTTGTTTGATCAGCCAGCAAGGTCAGACTCCTCTAGGCTTCTCCCTCGATGGCCAGCCAGGGCCCAGAATCTCATGACTTTCTAGATAGGAGGATGAATAAAAGTGACCTGATTACCCCATACCCAAGCCCAGGGGTCTGAGGTCCTAAAGACTCACCATACCAACCCGATAATTGCTGTCTGTGAGGAGCACAAGGGCAGTTGGTCTCACCCTCTGACTTGGCCTGTGATAACTGGTTTTACTTAGAAAAGGGAAAAACAGTTCTTTTTCCCTAACAGGCAACCCAGGCATTTAGGATCCATGGTATGGAGCCAGGGCAGGGCAGGGCAGGGCTGGGGCTTCCTTCCTGTTTCCATTCCATGCTTTCCCCTCATAGGAAGCAGGCAACTTACTAGTGATTCAGAGCCCTGGGGTGGGGGAGTCCTCTTTCGGTGTCTAGAATGTTCTTCTCTCAGGGCAGAGACAAAGACATGAAGGGGTTGGGATTTTGAGAGGAGGAATTCTTGTCCTATAGACTCCAGATTTGTTTTAGGTTCCTCACTGGGGTTTTGTTATTTCCAGCATCAATCCTACTTTCTAGTAAGTTCTTCAGGTCTAGGCCAACTAGCATCCTAGGCCGTTTGTGCTGCAATGGACCTTAGTGATATTCAAGTCCCTCTTCCTCATTTGACAGATAAGGGAAGTGGTGTCAAAGGGGATGAGTGATTCATCCATGGGCACACAACTAGCTAATGGTAAAGCAGGAACTCATGGCGCTAGT